CATGCTGAAGCTGTATGTGAAGATCCTTTCTAGACCTGAAAGTTCTAACTGCCTTGTCTGACCTCCCCAGACAAAAAGAAAACATGCATTCATTGCTCTAGAAGGCAGAAGTATTCTGAGGTTCCATGGATTTCAAACACAGGAAAGAATCACTGAACAAAGAAGAGACAGATTTCTTGCTGGTTTCTCACTGCATTTTGAATTGTGCCAATTATGCCAATTGTTCTAATCATTTTAATTCAAGAGTGGCATTTTGCATGTCAAGACTATATTCAAATATAAATATGAAACTTTACCATATACCCAGTTATGAATAAGTATTTAATTATGCATAGATGTCAGTGCTCCTCTCCATTGTTGGGGATAAATGAATTGACTCTATTACTAGATTTCTGAGAACAGCTAAACCCCATTTATACCTCTAACTATATTAATAGCTAAAGTCTATCAAATCTTGTATCATTATTACGATAATACTTATCCTACTCATAATGGTGTTGTAAAGATTAAATACTTAATATACTAAGTTATTGTGAAAATAAAAAATAAGAACACTACCATTTCAAACTTGTAAAATTTCTATTCCACTGAGAATGCTGGGAAAATGTTATTAAGCTAGGTAAACATATCAAGACTTATGCTAAGTGGGGACAAGAAGAAAGATAAAAAAATCAGTTCCTACTCTGGAGGTGCTCTCATTCTAACGAGAGAGACAACATGGAAACAACTACGTTCATTCAAGATATATACACACACTGTAAATGGAAAGTAATCCTATTGTACTATAAGAAATGAGAGAAAAGATGGCTTCAGAAAAACCTGGGAAGACTTGTATGAACTGATGCAAAGTGAAGTGAGAACCAGGAGAACAATTTGTACAGTAAATAACAGCAATATTGTAAGGATAATAAATTTTGAAAGACTGAGTAACTCTGATCAACACAATGATCAACCACAATTCTAAAGGATTCATGATGAAACATTCCAAAGAAAGAACTAATGGACTCAGAATCGCAGATTGAACCAATTTTCTCTCTCTTTTTTTACTTTTTAAAAGAATTTTGAACATGTTTAATTAATGTGGAAACTTGTTTTGAATCTGCAATGGGTTTTGTTTTTCTTGCCTTCTCAATGGCTGGGTAAGTGGAAGGAATTGAAAATAACACTGAAATAATAAAAATAATAATAATCTCAGAGGGAAGCCATTACAAGCAGGCAAGTGGTTGTAAGAAGACAGGTGGCTCAGAAAAGGTCTCTTGAAAAAGTTGGGATTTGAGCTGACTTTTAGAGGAAGCCAGGGAAACTAACACGAATATGTGAGGATGTAGAACATTCAAAGTATGGAGGACAGAAAAAAAGGCATGGAGGAGGGAAATGTCTCAGATGAGGTGCAGTGTTACTGAATCAAAGAATGTGTGGAAAGGATTAAAGTTGAAGAAGCAGTCAGGGGAGAAACTAGAGACAAGGAGACTAACCAGGCATGAGGCGAAGAGATAATGAATTCAGTTTGAGACATACTAAGTTTGAGATGGCTATGAGAAATCTATAGTTTGAGATGTCCAAAAGGCAGGTGGTGATGCAAGAATAGATACAGATCAGGAAAAAGCTTAGGGCTGGATGAGAAGATATTGCAATCACCTTCATATTGATGAAAATTAAACCAATCAGAGCTAATGAGGGAGAACAGAACACAGCTCAGAGAAGAGTCTAGTGAAATCCCTCATCCATGCTTAGGATATAGGAACCATGTTGAAGCTTAAATGTTTCATAGCAATATAGTACTAATCATGATTAAACTATAATTGGCAATACTGGAAGGGGATTTCATTGGCCATATATCTCACTGAAGAGGCCCAACAGTATCCTGGGATTTTATCTCTCTCACACATCCTTTTCTCTCTATTCATGTAGCCTGGGTTAGCTGGTGTCTCTGCCATCTAGTTGCTGTTCCCCTCTCCAATCTGACAGATTAATACTCCTAAAGATAGATCCAATTGTCACTCCTTGACTCAAAAATCTTCAGCAGTTCCCTACTGCCTTGAGAATATAACACAAAATCCACAGCCAGATATTTAGGGTCCTCAACATTGTGGTTTTCATTTACTTTGACAGTTATATTTTACATTATTTTCCTTCTAGTCATAATGGCTGGCCAGCTGTTCCCCATACATAATATTCCAAAAGGTCCCATCTCTGTGTCTTTGAAGAGGCAGTCCTCTACATCTAGGGTAAACTCTTTTCATAATTCCACCTTGAAGAATTCTTCCTTCAAAATATAGCTCATGTTCCACCCTGATAGGGCCTTTCTTGCTTCTTTTCCTTTGTAACATTTTTCTCTCTTGAAATTACTAAATATCTACTGAAAAAAGGCCATGGTCTCCCTTTGCATCTGAGGCCATCGCCAGTCATCCTGACCTATGTCTTGCCACTGGACTCAATGACTCTTGAGGAGAGAGTGAGACTGGTGACTTTGCACAGCTCTGCCTCACTTAAATCCAATTCACTTGCATGTCAAGACATCACCCTCCTGATGTCCTCAATCCTCTTTGAGAATGGAGGACAAACAACAAAAACAACAAATATCCACTGATGTGTGTGTGTATATGTTGTATTCTTCCAATAGAATATAAGTTCCAGGAGAGTAGGGGCCATTTTTATTTTGGTCTTTGTATCCACAAGGTCTAGCATATAGCCAGTGCTTAATAACTGTTTATTGAATTACTGAATTGATATAGTCAGCACAATGCCATCCATGATTAGAAGTATTCTGGGCAGTGGCAGACCAGGATCATAGGAAATCACTTTTTCCTTTGTATACAAAGGGGAACACCTTTGGTGAGTATGTCTTCACATTTCATGTTTCAACTGATGCTGAGCATGAGCAATAATTTCAGCTTTTTCCCCAATAAAATCTACCTTTACAACAGTGATGCTATGAGGCTATGAATCACAGCATGGTGAGTATGATTGGCCGTTGCATATACCCAATTAGGATTTGCATATCAAAGGTTGGTCAAGTGATGTCATTTAGTAAGAATCACTACAAAAAAGGAAATGAACATACAGTGAGAATGAGCGATATAAAATGGCAGGTACCCACATATTTGCTATTTATTACCAATAGAATGTCAAAAGATCTAGAAAGACTTGAAATGCACTGGGTAGATTCTCTAAGAAGGATTTATGGGAGAAAGGTAATCAAGAATTACATGACATGAAAAGCTGTGTCAGCCCTGTTAGAGGGAGAACCCATACTGTTAAAAGCACAAATTCACTGAAATATCAATTCAATAAACAATTTTTAGTGCCTACTATGTGCCAGGTACTGTGTGAAATGCTGGGGATGCAAAAGAGGCAAAAAACAGTCCCTGCTCTCAAAGAGCTCACAATCTAAAGTCTACTACTATAAGAAGAATCCAAGAAGAGGGTATATTTAATTTTTCCTTATAAAACTCTTCTTAGAAGAGTTTATTCTTTAACAAGGGAGACTGAACAAACCCATATCTACACCCATCAACACCTTCTTTCCATCCCACCCTGACCCAAGAAACCAACACATTTAAGCAATTCTGCAGAGGGGAACAGAATGGAACAATCTCAAAAGTCCCTTCCTTGTCTAAAATTCTTTTACCATTGTTAAGGTATAAATTAACATACAAGATCAAAGACTATATCTAAAAGGTATTGACTGGCATGGCTTGAAGGAGTACAGTAGCTGAAGATGGGGTGGAATTAATCATACAAAAATTTGTGAAGGTAAGTTTTGAGTAAGGCTTTGATGAGTAAAAGGCACAGACTTTGGAAAGGATGGAAAAAAAACATCCCAGGATAGTGAGACTGGCAACAGAATAAATGAATTTTAAAAGCATCTATTAAACACTAGCTATGTGTCTGGTACTAAGTGCTGAGGATATGAATACAAAAGAAAGATAATCTCAAGGAGTTTATATTTTAATAGAAAATATATATACTATACTGGAGGCCAGAGAGGAGTGTTTTTGTCTAGGCAGTAAAAGAAATGGTGAGTATAGCCATGAAACATATGACATATCTTTTCCAAGAATGATTGTATGATTTAATTTGGTTACTCTTCCCAGAGCAAGAGATGGAAAGTTCATTGGATTTGGAGAAATGAAGCAAATATAAACATAACACTAGTTGCAAATCAGAATTCAGTACAAGATGGCTCCATTATGGGCCTTACATTAAAATGTTAAGTGTGGCTAAAAGTAAATACCTTGTTTATTTACAATGTGGTCTTAATTATATAGCTGACTCCCAGAGTGAACCTCAAGGACAATTTTTTGGGAACTCTTCCAAGCACTTTGACTATACAGCATAGATTAGATAAATTCAAATTTGTTGGAATCCTTTTTCAAAAATTATTTTAGCCAAAAAGTTGTGGAGTACAAAGTAGACTAGGCTTTGATGAAATCACAGTCTGATAATGTAGACTAGGAATGTGAACAAACAAAGTTCAGAATCCAGAGCTGCTATAAGAGAATCTTTCTTCTCATAGGATCACAGACGCAGAGAAGAAGAGACCGAAGAGGCTATCGGGCAGAATCCCTACATTTTGCAAATGAGGAACCGGAGGTTCAGTGAGGTAAAGTGTCTGATGAATGGTCACACAGCTAATGAGTGTCAGAGCCGATATTTGAACCTGAGATTTTTTGACTCCAGGTCCTAAAACTTGATCCACTACAACATAATAATATAATGCCCAAGAATTATAAATGACTTTCTATTGAACTGACACTTAAATTTAGAATATAGGATTTTTCTTTAAAACAAAAACTCAGGTGATTTAACCACTCCAATTTCCAAATATGACATATAATGCACTGGATATTTTTTGCTCTAATGCAAATATAGTAGACAAAAAGCATATGCTTATTTTTTGTTTTGTTTTGGGAAGAGTAAGAAAATATGGTTTTATTGCCAAATGATATGCACTGAAAAACAATGACTATATTTAGGAAAGAAAAAAAAATACTCACAAGTATGTCTGGCTAATGAATAGTTGGATCCACCACTGGTCAAACCAAACCCTTCAGGAATTTGGCTGGAACTTCGAGGTCTTGTCAACAATTTTGGAGGCTCAATTTCTGCACCAAATTCAGCTCCTATCACTCCTAATAAAACAATAGCTGTAGCCTGTTTACGTCTTTCTTCATATGATGTAGATATTTTTTTCATTTGTGGGAGACCTGATGATAGGCAACCTGAAATCAGAAAGACACAGATGAGCACACATCAAAATGAGCACACATCAAAATGAGCACACATCAAAATACATACACATAAACACAGAGCAAAATCCAAAGATTGCTACAACCCAAAACATTAAAAATAATTAATTTTATTTGAAACTTTTAATTTGTATTTTCATAATTAGTTTCTCAAAAGTTTGACATATGATATATTCACACATGTTTTTATTTGTGTATATGAGTCTGGCTTAGAGAAAAGGCACTAACCAGGCTATACAAAATGTTCCAAAAGTCTTAGGGCACCAAAATTTCTGGTAAACTCTGTATAACAGAATATGAATTTTTGAACAAAAAGATTATCAACTCTGGTCACTTCATTTTACTGATGAAGAAGCTGAAGATTAGAAAAATGTTATGTGAGTAGAGAAAAGGCCCAGAGAAATGTTATATCAGTCTATTTCAGGGAGATTTTTTTTTTAGTGGGTTGGACTTGATGGCTGCTGAGGTGATGAGCCCAGAGGTTGGGAAAGGGACAGTACTGCCTGGCTTCAAAGCCAGTACCGTCTCCATGCCCACTGACCATAACAAATACAATGATGGAAAGAGACATCTTGTAAATATGCAGGGTTAATGTATGTAAAATAATATTAATTAGGGAGATGTGATAATGTAAGGAAATTAAGGAATAAGAGAGAAGAATCATGGTAGAAAACATTTCTATGTAGGTGAATGAAGGCAGAAACTGAAGTGATACTGTAATTGGTGTGTATGTAACGGAGACTATCAGCCAAATCTAATGGCCTGGTTTTGACTGCATGCCTTTGACACTTTAGATCATACTCTTCTCCTTGATATTCTCTTCTCTAGGTTTTCATGACACCATTCTTCCCTGGTTCTCCTCCTACCTATCAGACTCCTTCCTTATCTCCCTTGCTGGATCTTCATACACATCACATCTACCTCTTTTCTTCTCTCTATATACTATTTCACCTGGTGAACTCAGCAGGTCCCATGGATTCAACTATTATCTCTATAGAGATGATTCTCTGATCATATTAATTATAAACGAGTGACTGAGAAGAATGGTGGTAGGGGGAAAAGATAATGAGTTCTGTTTCAGATATGCTAGGTTTGACATGCCAATGGGATATGAAAATCAGTGAAGATTTTGATAAATTCAAGAGAGATGATAAGCTGGACATATATAGATTTGAGAGTCATCTGTATTAAAGATCACAAATCCAAAGCTGAAAAGACATCAGAGGTCACATAATACAAACTTTTCATTTTACAGATGAGGTATCTGAGGCCCAGGGGGATTAAATGATAGCAGAAGATCAGGCAAGTAGTGTCAAAGAAGGAGATCTGAACCCAGAATCTTGGACTCTAGTCCAACTTCTCTTTTCATAATGTGTCACATATTTTCTTACAGAGATGATATCTGAACCACGGCAGCTAATGAGATCACTACAATAGAGAATGAAGTAAGAGAAGGGAGTCAAAAACAGAGCCTTTTGGATATATGCACATACACACAGAGGGTAAAACACAGATGATAATCTTGCAAAAAATACCGAGGACTGGTTAGGAAGTTAGAAAGAAAATCTAGAGAGCAATGTGACAAAAATTTAAAGAGAAGAGAGTACTGAGGAGATGAGGTGGTGTGTAGTGCCAGATACTGAAGAGAGGTCAAGAAAGATAAGGACTTTCAAAAGACCTTCAGATTTAACAATGCAGAGGTCAACATTTGCCATAGTAAAAGCAGTTTCAGTTGATCCTCGGGGACTGGAACCACATTGTAAGAGGCTGAGAAGTGAGAAAGCAGAGGCAATGAGTGCAGTTTTGGGTGTGAATATGATATAGGAAGTAGCTTAAGGGAGTTGTATAAGGAAATGATTAAGAAGAAAAGATGAACAATAAAAGCATCTATTAAACATCTCTAATGTGCCAGTCACTAATACAGGGGATATGCTAGGGATACAAATACAAAAATGAGACAGTCCCTGTGGGCAGTGCACTGTCATATCCTTTCCAGAGCAAGAAGTGGAAAAGCGGGGGTGGGGAATACAGCAGCAAGACATCCTGGGAGGATGGATGTAAAGCATGATCCTGGTCTGACTGGATATACTACATTAGATGAAGCTTTTTTTTGGGGGGGTCCCTTTGGGAAGGGGAGTTCCTAGAACTGAATATCACTGATATGGGAATACCACAAGGAATACCTCCTACTACTGTAGTTTGGCCACTCTCCTATAACATGGTTTGAAAGAGTTACCTAGCACACAAAGAGGTTGTGTCTTGTCCATGTCACAAAGCAAACATAAGTTAGAACTAATTATTGAATTGAGATTTTCCTTTCTCCAAAGCTGGTCCTCCATCCCAAGGCCATGCTGATTCCTTAAAACACAAGTGACAATCTGAACCTTATGCTCATGAAAATAACTTTAAGAGGGTAGTCATTATCATACTCATTGACAAAGATTGTCTGACAAGAGTACCTGATGTCAGAGTGCCGCTTTTGATCAAAACCTAGTATTCGCTAACTTGGCTGATTTGCTTAATCAACTAAACAAATCTAAATTCCAGTGGAAAGAGCAGATGTCTATCTTGTATGACCTGAACTTAGAATCAGATCTCTTGGTTCTATTTCACATCTTAGATTCAGTGAGGATAATGAATTCAAAAGCCACAATGAAAGGAAAGAAATAAAAGAGAGAAGCCTGCTTTAGATCTTTATGACTGGAAGAAGAGAAAAGGAAATAAGTTGTTCTGTGCTGTAGAAAACTAGGTGGTCAACAATAAACTCTGGCAATTTTTTTTACTTAGTTCTATGACATTTGTTGTGCATTTTTAATGATTTTTAAAAAAAGTTTTAATGTTAATTTCAAAAGGTTTCATGTGATAAATTCGAAAAAAAAAAGATACGAAATTCTATCAGCTTTGGTTATTATTAACTCCACCACAGCACATGCAGAGAAGAAAGGCAGAATGATTTCTAAGGGAATAAATTTGCTTTGAAAAATTATTCAAATTCCTTCAGGAAATATTTTAAACACATGTTAAAAACTTTAAAGCTTATATTTATACACATCATAATGATAAGCAGGCTATTTTGCTTATGTGCTAAATATTTTATCAGTGCTACAGTCCTAAAATATTTTACCAATTTGTAAATTCTAAAATCAAGAAAAACATTATTATATTAAATATAATTTCTGATTAAATGCCAAAAGGAAAATGCTTGAAACAAGCTCTTAAAATTACATTACAAAATAACATTTGCTGATAGTGTAACATGTATGTTACTTTTATCAAAGAATTTTCTATTTTTTTTTGTAATTACTAAAAAGAAAACACTACTGAAAAAAAGTATTAGCAGGTGTGTATGGGAAGGCATTCACATCTATACATATATATTCTCAATCCATACAGTACTATCTATGGTAGTTGTGATGGTCATATGGCAAGTAAAGAAGAAAAAAAACTAAAAGCTTAACCATGCTAAGAAAAAAAAATCAATAATCACTGCCTCCCAAAGAAGAAGGATGAAAATGGACCTTAACATCAGACGAAGTGATATTTACCAGTTTGATCATCTATATCCCAGTGCATACACTTAATAATAGTTTTATGTCTATACATGAGCACACACACAAGGAGTAAGAGCTCTATTTATCTACATCTACACACACACAGAGAATATTTTGCTCTTTCCATAGTATCCTTGAAACAGGAAGCAAGCCTGGCTCCCCTCCCCCAGTCCCAGCAAGAAGCATGCTCCATAACAATAGTTCAAAGGAAAGCTCTAGTCGGCAGTTGCACTGATTGTTCTGTCAGCTGACCTCTGCAGAAGGGAATTGCTAACCACGGCCATGCTCCTTAGCTGACAAATGAATGATCGCAGCTCCATCTATTTTCACTATGGCTGCCTCTAGCCCAGGTGCTCAGACAGAGAGCCTGGTGTGACATCTTAGATCAAGATGAATTGGCACAAACTCCTGATCCAAGATTGTTTTATACCATTTAATTTAGTTTCTTCCCCTGCTTGGATGAGCACAGCTCTGGTTATGGATTTCTATTCTAATGTACTGAAGCAGGCACTGAAAGAAGCCAATGAAGCAGATGCTGGAGCAAGGGACTGCAGGGATACTGATCAATAGGCAAGGCATTGACCCCAGCAGTTCAGCCTCTGCAATGGCCACTGCTTAAAGAAAACACACACACACACACACACACACACACACACACACACACACACACACACACACACACACACACACACACAGCTTCCAGTAGGAAATTAAACATGGATACTTGGTGAACTTTTTTCTCCTTGTTGGACTCCCTTTTGTTTGTGTACTACAATCATGTATTAACTCTCTATACATCCAGAAATTAGGAATTTTAAGTGGTTTTAATGACATCTTTTAAAACACAATCAGTTTGGACATTTTACCCCTAAATTAATAGAAAGAATGACAGGTACCATCTGCTGCTAAGTGGTGAGAATACGAAATTTAAATTCTTTCAAAAATTTTGAAGTAATTTCATATTTATAATAGATAGCATTGATATGCATATGCATATATATATGTGTGCATATATATGTATATGTATATATATGTATACATATACATACACATAAAGTATCTATTACATTTATATGGGAGATCAACCTAATGATCATGGTATTAACTTCTTTATGCTCTAACTACGTGATATGTAATTTTTTATCAGTATCCAGGTCTGAAAAGATAGGACTCCTTTCAAGAAAGGAAATTTCATGGCCAAAAAAGGACAGGGAAAAAAAAAAGTATTGACTATTTGATTAGCACCTCTGTATAAGCAGCAAACATGCCAGATCTTATTCTAACAATGGTCCAGTTTCTCTGTTTCTTGAAATTAAAAAAAAAATGAAATTACTGAGTAACTATTTCTCCTTGGGTTCATCTCAATGAAAATACTAGAAATAATACAATTAATTGTAATGACTTTCCATAAATAAACTGACA